TGGCAAAGTTGAATGGTGAGATTGAGCAACCCTGCCTAACCCCACTACTCGAATGGAACAATGGAGAGAGGTGGTTGTATGCCCTCACTCTGCCTGAGGTGTTTTTATATAGGGCTTTCAGGATGTTAATAAACTTCTCAGGCACACCCTTCTTCAATAGACAATCCCAGAGAACAGTCCTGTCCAACGAATCGAAGGCAGCCCTGATGTCAAGAAACACTATGATTGTTGGCCTTTGATAAGTATGGCGATGTTCTAACATTTGGCGGAGGGTGAAGATATGATCAATACATCCTCGACCAGAACGAAACCCAGCCTGCTCCTCGCGAGTCAATCTTTCTCGGGTTTTGAACAACCTACGAAGTATGACGGAAGCCAATAGCTTGGACGCAATCGGAAGTAGACTTATCCCCCGATAGTTGTTGCAGGAACGACGTGAACCCTTTTTAAAGATAGGGACAACTATCGACTCATTCCATGACGTTGGTACACTCTCTAATTCCCAAACCTTTGTAAACAATTTCGTCAATTCCTTAGTCAAAATGTCACCACCATCTTTAAAAAGAGCCGGAGGTAAGTCATCTGAGCCAGGTGATTTGTAACGCTTCAAGAGTTGGAGTTCCTTGCGGACTTCCTCCTCGTTTGGTGGATCAGTCGTCACCGGCCATGGAGGGCAGGATAGTCTGACCGATGTTGCCGGAGCAGCAGGCCAGTTGAACTACCCTTCGAAAAATTCTGCCCATCGTCCAAGACGTCGATGGATGTTAGTGATTGGCATCCCATCATCCTCGCAGATTGTTTCACTCACACCAGACTTCTTGCTGCCAGTGGCTCGGATGAGCTGGAAGAGCTTCCGGTAGTTACCAGATGCAGCTGCTGCTCCCAGCTCATTAGCACGCTCCGACCATCAGGCTTCTCTGTCCTTACGCAAGCTTTGCCCAATTTGATGGCGGTCACTTCGTTGTCCACTGAAAAGTAAGGCAAGATTGGCGCAGACCAAGGCATGGTCAGAGTCCAGATAGGTACTCCAGAAGGAGCAGCAGTCTTTTACACAACCACGCCAGCGGAAGTTGATCACGATGTGATCAATCTGAGTCCAGGCTTCGGATGCAGAGGGAGGACGCCAGGTGGCACATCGGCGATGACTGTGCCGAAAGTAGACGGTCCTCGTTATCTGACCTGCGACCAACGAGTCCCCATCGGCCACCTAAACGACTCTCTTCTGTGCCTAGACGCCCGGCCTGAGCATTCAAGTCTCCGGCTAGTACTACAATATCTGTCGAACGCACTTTCTGGAGAAGAACAGATAAATGATGGTAAAACTCATCATTGATTGCATCCGGGCTGCAATCTGTCGAGGCATAGGCGGAGATGACGAAAAGACATCGTTTCTCACGCCGATTTCTTCTCACTTTGATGGAGCTTTCCAATCTAACAGCACATAACCGACTGTTAATGGGGATCCAATCGACTAGTGCTGCCCCAGCTCTAGCGCTTAGTGCGACACCAACGCCAGCAAGACCAGACGAAGATGCCACAGGGTCCCCGGATAAGCGCACGTAAAACAAGCTTTTCGAAGCGACAGATGGAGATCGAATTTGTAGTACTCCGCCAGAGTCTTGAATACGGGTCTCGGATAGACAACAAACATCAATATTAAGACTTTCCAAAGACATAGTCAGCCCTATCTGTTGTCCGACCTGCACTAGTGTGCGAACGTTGAAGGCAGCCAGTTTGAATGGTGCACGTGGTTTCAGAAAAACTGCTTCAGTTCTCGTAATCGGTGGTAACATACAATTTTCAACCGGACAGTGACTCGAGAACGTTTAGATACAGTCGAATTTCCACCAAAGACGAGCCGCTGTATAAGTATAAAAGAGGGAGAACAATGTGAAAAATAATAATAATAATAATAATAATAATATTAATAATAATAATGACAATAATGGTACTACTACTACTACTACTACTAATAATAATAATAATAATAATAATAATAATAATAATAATAATGACAATAATGGTAATAATAATAGTATTAATAATGACAATAATAGTAATAATTATTGGAATCGACTGATTGTTTTTCGGAGCGAGAAAAGTAGCTGCCGTAGTCATAGAGTTCATCGTTTGTGTGTGGGCTGTGATACTACCCGGGTGCCCAAACCGAAGCAGGTGGTTATCTAAGGGGGCCACACCCCGAGCCTTTGACCTAATGGTCTAACCCACAAGGCAGTGGAGCATCGTAAGGAGATGCAATCCCATGGTAGCCGGTGACCAACGATTGGTTCATACGCCATTTGTTCCCGCAGGATACTGGAGCCCATGTGCACCATTCGTTTGTGATCCGGTTAAAGCGCCGGACGTTCGCCTTTCGTCCTCTCATTTTCGTAAACAACACCTTCGCCACGAGAAGGCAATGAGTAGGACTTCCCTGGCAGAGGCTGTATACGCGCGGCCGTACCAGGGCGTTCGTGGGCTAAGTTTAGTGTCAGGAGTGGGATTCGAACCCACGCCCACAGAGTGGACTGCGACCTGAACGCAGCACCTTGGACCGCTCGGCCATCCTGACTAAAATGTATTTGTGAAATCAGCACTAGTCATTTCCATTGCATTAAATAGGTTTTGAATAAGTTCTGTATCTATTTCATCCTTGGCATAAAGCAAACCTAACTAGGAAATGAATATAATAAAGATAACACATTCATATATCAAATCATTCAATTTTACATTAGTAATTATTAATATCAAGGTTTAACTTGATAATTTCAAGTAAATTGAGCATGGAATATACGTTTCAAAATTAAAGTCAATGATGTGTTCGAAAAATTTTAATGATTAATTTTAATTTTTGCGGTTTCGTGACCTAGTGTGAGTCAATCCTTCAAAGTAAATGAACCAAATTAAATTAATTAAACAGCTGAATTCATGAGTCAATTCAAGCTGGACCACCATGAAAACACTGGATGGCCGTTTCGTCCTAGTACAGAACTACTCAGCCGTGACCAGTGGAATTCAACCGGGTCTGTTGTGAGATAGTAACACACTGAAGACAATGGTGAATGGTGGCGCAATTTCGTGGATTGGTTGGAGCTAGACACTAACACCGTTGGATGACAGCCGGCTTAGTGGTCTAGTGGCTAGGCGATTGTGCGAGATACCGACAGGACCTGGGTTCGAATCTCGCCAGGCGGGATCGTGGATGCGCACTGCTGATAGCAATCAATGGTTATAGAACTTGAATGACATGACTCAAAAACGTTTGCGCAGGTACATCCACTCTTTATGTTCTCCCAAATTTTAATATTTTGATTTCTTCATTTTCTTTTCGTTTTTCTCCCTCCAAGTTTATTTCACTGGATTATACTCGTTGAATAACATCTTCAAACCCTGATGTTTTCAATTACTGCTTATACTCTTACTACCTCTACCACTATGTGATTTGAATCGGCAACTGCATCTCTGTGCTAATGTGGTATGGCAACTCGAACTGATGTACGTACGTATGAAGCTCTACGTTGTCATTGACTACTGAGGAGTCCCATACTAGGACGAAAAGGTCATCTAGTTCTTCCAGGTTTCCGGTGGTAGTCTAGCTTCAATTGACTCGTGAATTCAACTATTAAATTACTATAATTTCTACAAAACAACTCTCTGATTAAAATTAACACACGTTTAAAAAGAATATAGGAACAAGTTGAAATATTTACTTCAATCTAAAATCACAGAATTACTAGGTCTTTTTTGTTTAGCCAAGAAATACAGGCTACACGGAAAGACCTAATAATCCTGTATATTTTGGTTAAAATAAATATCCTACCATTTTTGTTGACTCTGTGTCCGGCTTTTTATCACGTGATTCATCCACCAATCAAAACACGACTTATAAAATCTTAGCACTTTGCCAAACCAATGACGTTCGACCGGTATGAGCAGCCTAGCGTCCTTATTGGTCCTATGTCCGTCTATCCCGTCCACTTGAGTCCAGAAAATCAATATCAGATCCCACTATGAGAATCGAATCGAATAATTTATTTCAGACATACTGGGTTCATATATCAACCAAACAGACCGCAACGCACCATAAAATAGGAAATAACATTTGTACACAATAAAGCCAAAAAGTGGCTCTGAACGTGGGAGACAGTAGTCATTAAACTGAACATAGCTTAAGAACAGTAAATTGTACAATAATAATATATAGATCAAAATAAAGCTTATAACAAGGAGAATATAAATATACATAATCCAATTATTGAATAGTGATGTAGTGAACAGAACACCAGTGGAGGTAATCAAATGTATTCAACACAAAATTACAGGACTTGTTCATAAAATCTAACAATCATAATGTAAATGCTTAATTTGCAAAGTGTCCATCAATTGTCTTAAAATGACACAGACTTCACTGTTCTTGCATTTTCATGCAAATTGAATTCTGTTTCCATTCGTTACTGTTCGATCCTCTTGTCTCTCTGCTTCCCGATCTTATGTTCGCGACTAGCTAGCTCATTGGTCTTTGGTTACAGAGCCTTTGTTCAGTCTAGGTGAACTCGTAATCGCTTCAAACATAGAAAGTTTACTAACCAATATTAAAAATTAAATAGTAAGTGAGAAAAGCTAGTACACTGAAGGAATATCGGAATCGATAGGAAAAACTGAATGTGGTACACGAAGAGATTATAAATTCTTGATATTCAGAAATTGTAATCGATTTCTTATAAAATTCAGGTTATAGACTAAAGTTTACAATAAAAACGTACAACTATTAAACCACTGTGTGGTAACTCAGCTCAAATCAATTCATTATCTAACTTTCTTTAAATTCTGAGCTTTGAAATTACTTTAAACCTTCTATTCTACGAACTTATTCTTTCATCTCGAATCATACATATACATATATATAACTGCTTATCAACTTACCTTTTTACGCATTCTTTCCAAATAGACATTTTTAAAACAAGGCATATATGTAGTATCCAACACATTAGTGAATTTTTTTAAAGATTATCAACAAATATGCATTCTTTATTCGTTGTTTTATCAGATGAACATTCCTGTTGATCAATTAATGCTTGAATTAAACATTCAGCTAGACGAGCTAAATTCCATGCACAAACACTTGGTTGTTGAGCATATGAATAACGTCCATTTGGATCCAATGTATTCGATATATGATCCCAAGTGAACTGATCAATAAAACCAAATGGACCATAATCAATTGTTAAGCCAATAATACTCATATTATCTGCATTTAATACACTGGTTATTTTATGGGAAAAATAACAAATTGAAAGATAATTTTCTATGAATAGAGTAAGAGTTGGAAAAAAAACAATTAAAAATCAGCAACTGATGGACTGTAACTTAGTTCTAGTTAGAAACTTGTCAACAGTATGAGCATCTACACCACTATACGGAAATGTGGACTATTTATCCCCATCACAATGGTTTGTATGTAACGTGACCTCCTCCAAACTTGATGATACCAGATTAAGTTCTGTATATAATCCTGGGGGTGCACTGATGAAGAGTTAAAATTAGAGGCGGAATGACTATCTAGTACATCTCCCGATTTCAAAGATTTTCAAGATTATATCAAAAATCCAAAAGAAATGGGGCATGAAAATTTCTCTACAAGTGATCAACAACTGATTTCATTAGTTGTTGCCGAAAGGTTCCCTGCCATGGTCTGAACATTTATTTTGACTTTAAAGCATTGCTTCGTTGTTTTTTTACCAATGATCAACTAATTAAACTGTTTGTGAGAGTGTACACACTCATGTCATGGCTATTCAGTATATTTTTGATCTCTTCCAGTGTTTGGAACTTTTATTATGAAGTCAACAAAAAGTTGGAGCTTTTTGGTATCAAAGAGAATTGGTTCCACCTGTGTTGTAACAAAGATTATTTCAGTACTGAATTTGTCCAGTTTGGCTATAGATACTGTTTCTTCCATTTTTACACAGAGTTCATTTTCAATGTGTTCCTGAACTTTATTGTTGCAGTCTGACATTTACATGATAATCGTGGTATTTCTTTTATATGTTCATGTAATGATAGGTGTTTTGTCTTTATGCAATTGCTTTATTGCGTAGAATTGAACGTAAGTTAATTTGATAATACCAAGGTTTTGGTGTTATCACGTTGGTGAAAATTTATCCCTTACACCACTCGTTACTTCATTTCAAAGGTATTTTACAGCAAGTTCAATAGAAAGGAGACAATCGTGATCTTATCATGTCAAAATTAAGAGCTTTTCTAGTTAGAATGAGTTTATGCTTGTTTAGACTTCTATATGACAGCTTCACGACTACTTAACATTAAGGTTTAGTTAGAAGTCTTCATCCTGATAAAAATTACGGTTTGACGTACATTAAGTGAGTTTTTCAGGTTTGTTGTTTTACTTTCTTGAAACTTAATGATGAAACTCTTTTACGTATTTCAGAGTGATCATTAAACTATTAAATCCTTTGGTGCAATTAAAGAAAAAAGTCCTTTCAATACTTCGTTGGAACCATGAGCCAATCTGGTTCCAATGTAATAGCCGTTTTAGGGTAACTGCCGGTCCCAAGCCTGAATAAATGGGGAGGGTTGGTGATGCATTCAGCGATCCGATTACTCAGAAATCAATCTTGCTAATAAAAACACTAACATGAAACGAACCCATTTGGGTTATACAACCTTTGAAAACCAAAAAGAACTGCATGGTTTCGTCCCAACTAAGGGACTCCCCAGCATTATGTATCAACGACATTGCAATCTGGAATTAAACCCAAGACCTTGGATCTTGTTTGCGAAAGCTTAACATCTAAATCATTGAGTCGGCATCTGATGGTATACAATTTTAACTTCAATCAATTGAGAAAGATTGGTTCAGTGAAGAGTTCTCTTTTCGGCGAATTTGTTTTAAAAGCTGTAAAAATTCAAATATATATACTTCTTTTTCGACCTCGAATGCCCTGGTACGGCCGAGATTGGGGAGAGTCTACTCTACCTCTCGAAATGCTTTCACATGGTCACATGTATATAGCCTCTGCCAGGGAAGTCCTACTCACTGCTTTCTCGTGGCGGCCGTGTTGTTTACGAAACTGAGAGTACGGAAAGCAAATGTCTGACGCTTTAACAAGGTTGAAGGACGCAGAGAGTTCACCTAGGGGAGTTGGAAAACCCTTATCTCCGATGTATTCGATATATGATCCCAAGTGAACTGATCAATAAAACCAAATGGACCATAATTAATTGTTAAGCCAATAATACTCATATTATCTGTATCCAATACACTGGTTATTTTATGGAACTCCGCCTGTAGCTCTTATAGAGTTACTGCCGGTCCCAAGCCCGGGTAAAGGAGGAGAGTTGAGCATGGGGTTAGCGTCCCCATCCCGTAGAAAACTAACTCGCTAAAAAAACGCTTACCAGAAAAAATAATCCAAACCATTTAAACTATGCCCTGGGAGTTAGAAGGTCTTCATTTAGAAGAATTATGACGCTTCATGGTGAAAGCCGATTTCCTTCGGAAGCCACGAGGCCGATGCCTCTTCTAACAACCAGAGCAAAAATTTTTATAGGTACATGGAACGTTTGAACAATTTGGGAAACCGGGAAGACCAGTCAAATAGCAATGGAAATGAAGAGATACAACTTAGCAGTACTGGGAATCAGCGAATCCCACTGGACTGAAGCTGGACAGAAAAGGCTAGCTACAGGAGAGATGCTTGTATACTCCGATTACGAGGAGGACAATGCTCCACACACTCAGGGAGTCGCTCTTATGCTGTCCAAAGTAGCAAGAAATGCACTTGTAGGATGGGAATCTCACGGATCCAGAATCATCAAAGCATCATTCAAAACAAAGAAGGAGGGGATCTTAATGAATATTATCCAATGTTATGCACCCACAAATGATAGCAACGACGACATTATAGATCAGTTCTACGAGCGGCTGCAGTCAGTCATTGAGAAATGCCCAAGAAAGGACCTAACTATTCTGATGGGAGATCTAAATGCCAAAGTCGGAATAGACAACACTGGATATGAAGATATTTTGGGACGACATGGTCTGGGAGAAAGAAACAAAAATGGAGAAAGATTTGCAAATCTATGTGCATTCAACAAATTGGTCATAGGAGGCACAATATTTCCACACAAGCGTACACACAAGGCTACATGGATCTCACCGGACCACACTTTTGAGAACCAAATAGATCATATTTGCATCAACAAAAAATTCCGAAGGACAATGGAAGATGTGAGAATCAGTAGAGGCGCTGACGTCGCTTCAGATCACCACCAAGTTGTGATCAATTAAAAACTGAAGCTAAATAAGAACTGGACAAGTGGACAAACAGCACTACAAAGGTTCAATACAGCCTTCCTTCGAGATACTGACAAACTCAATGAATTCAAGATAGCTCTCAACAACAGGTTCCAAGCCTTACAAGATCTACTGAAAGAAGAAACCAGTATGGAGGACAACTGGAAAGGCATCAAGGAAGCACTAACTTCAACGTGTCAAGAGGTTCTGGGTCTAAGGAAACACCATCATTAGGAATGGATCTCTACAGAAACACTGGACAAGATCAAAGAGAGGAAGAACAAGAAGGCAGCAATAAACAATAGCCGAATCCGAGCAGAGAAAGTTCAAGCACAAGCTGAATACATAGAGGCAAACAAACAAGTGAAGAGGAGCATTAGAGCCGACAAGAAGAAATACGTGGAAGAACTAGCAACGACGGCAGAAAAAGCTGCTAGAGAAGGAAATGAATGAATCCACCGGACATCGAAACGGCACACACAGATCTTCCCATAGACGTCAACCCACCAACGAAGGAAAAAATCAGAATGGCCGTCAGACAAATCAAGAACGGGAAAGCAGCGGGTCCGGACAACATACCAGCTGAAGCACTAAAATCAGACGTCGAAGCAACTACAAACATGCTTTACCTTATATTCAAAAAGATTTGGGAGGAGGAACAAGTGCCGATGGACTGGAAAGAAGGGCACCTCGTCAAGATTCCAAAGAAAGGAGATTTGAGCAAATGTGAAAACTATAGAGGCATTACGCTGTTGTCAATACCAGGGAAAGTCTTCAACAGAGTGTTGCTGAACCGAATGAAAGATGCAGTAGACGCCCAACTTCGAGATCAACAAGCTGGATTCCTGAAGGATCGATCATGGACAGACCAAATTGCAACACTAAGGATCATCGTCGAACAATCAGTTGAGTGGAAGTCATCACTATACATCAACTTCATTGATTATGAAAAAGCATTTGACAGTGTGAATAGGAGGACATTGAGGAAACTTCTACGACACTACGGAGTTCCTGAGAAGATTGTCAACATTATCCGGAACTCATACGACGGACTACAGTGCAAAGTCGTGCATGGAGGACAGCTGACAGACGCATTCCAAGTAAGGACCGGAGTCAGACAAGGCTGTTTACTTTCTCCCTTCCTCTTTCTTCTGGTGGTCGACTGGATTTTGAAGACCTCGACATCTGAAGGAAAACACGGAATTCAATGGACAGCTGGAAATCAATTAGACGATTTGGACTTCGCAGATGACCTAGCCCTCCTATCATGTACACAGGAACAGATGCAGATGAAGACAGCCAGTGTAGCAGCAGTCTGTACATCAGTAGGCCTCAACAAACACAAAGGGAAAACCAAGGCCCCAAATACAACACGGAGAACAGCAATCCAATCACTCTTGGTGAAGAAACTGGAAGATGTAGAATCCTTCACATACCTAGGAAGCATCATCGATGAACAAGGAGGTTCAGATGCAGACGTAAAGGCAAGGATTGGCAAAGCAAGGGTCGCATTCCTACAATTGAAGAATATATGGAGCTCAAAACAACTTTCAACCAATATCAAAGTGAGAATCTTCAATACCAACGTCAAGGCAGTTCTACTGTATGGAGCTGAAACTTGGAGAACTACAGCAATCACCATCAAGAAGGTACAAGTATTTATAAATAGCTGACTTCGCAAGATACTCAACATCCATTGGTCGGATACCATCAGCAACAGCCTTTTGTGGGAGAGAACAAATCAGCTTTCATATGAAGAAGAAATTAGGAAAAGACGATGGAAATGGATAGGACATACATTACGCAAATCGTCAAACTGCATCACGAGGCAAGCGCTAACTTGAAATCCTGAAGGAAAGCAAAAAAGAGGAAGGCCAAAGAACACATTGCGTCGGATAATAGAAGCATATATGAAAACGATGAATT